TGCCGAGCGGGCTTCTGCTCCTAGGCCACAGTATGCCTTGTCCACTGTTCTTGCAAGATGCGAAAATCTTGGAGCCAAAGCCGAGAAGAGGGATTGCTGTTCGGCACCTGGGCATCCGAAGACCACCTGTAGTCGAGCTCCTCCTCTTCTGGATAACTGCTGCAGTTCCGAGAATCAAGGAACTATAATCCAGAAACATTTGGACTGCTCAATTCCTTTCTGCTGTAGTCGAAGAACAGTGCTGTGAGGGAGTGCTGAACCTAGACAGCCGAACGAAGAGAAAGAACCGCAGCAAGCAAACAGTAAACAGGGAAAACAGGAATAAAGAAAACTGTAAGAAATGAGATGCCATAAGGACACAAACACAAGAACAACAAAATTTAAGTGGTTTGGTCTTTAAACCTATATTCACGTAAGAAATGAGAAGGACACAAACACAAGAACAATAAAATTTAAGTGGTTTGGTCTTTAAACCTATATTCATAGAGGGAATCATTACGAAATTCACTATGATGAAAGAAGAATTACATGCTCGTTGTATTGAGGAATCACCATGTCTCTCTAGATCTCTCTCTCTACAAGACCTCTCCCTCAATTCTAAAGCCTCTGAACTTCTTATTCATCTCCTTGCTGAATTTTCTTCCTCCTCTTGATCTTCTTGATCAGATTTTTCTATCTCCTTATAGTGGTCATTCCACCCCCACAGGACCTCTCATCTATTTATAGATAGATGAGCATCTATTTATAGATAGATGAGGCTTTCCAAGATGCATGAAAATTACAAGTGTGTCATTTATGTCATAATTAAGAGCCATGAATAAACAATAAATCTTGAAAAAATTTAAAGGCAAATACATGCATATCACTCAATTTTTATGTATTAACTCCTAAATTTTATTTTTTATAATTATATAACCCAAAATTTTCATATCACATACAAAATGATATTACTATTTTAAATTAAGAAAAAAAATAAAATACATAATTTTATGCATACGTAAATATATGAAAATTAAAACAGCGCGCAGGATCCCAGACTGCACTTATGCCGAGTAAGCAAAACCAACCCATCTAGGTCGTCGCCTTCGCTCTGCTTGCTTCGTTGCCAGCATCCTTCTTCTCTCTTTCTATCCATCTAAACAGACATCGGAAAAACTAAGCTCGGGTTCAGCACATTCCTGGCGGAGGAAAGAAATCGCGTGATTTGTTCTGTTCTTGCTAGATCACTTCTGTCAAGAATCTCTAAAATTGTCAACTAAAAGAAGCGAAGAAGCCCTTTTCACATCATCAGGAGCTATCATCTTTTCGTTCGCTGTAATTTCTCATGCAATTCTTGCTTTCATGAAAGTTTGGGAGAGGAAGACTGAGTTCTTGCTACATAATCCGAGCAGTGTTGAATGCTGCCTTGTGATAGGCAACCGACAGTGGTTTTTGTGTTTTGCTTAATACTTGGTTAAAAATGTTCGAACTTTATTATGTCTGGAGCTTATTGCGAGCTTTGTACTGAATGAGAAGTTGGCATGGAGGAAATTAGCGGTAATGGGGATGCGCATGGAAATTTGCTGAAGCCGAATTCGATACACGCTTCTGGAAGCTTCAAAAGCTCTCTTTCCGGTAGATCTGGTGCTAGAAACTCACCTGCTTTCCGAAGGTTGCAATCCAGCAGAACTCCCAGGCGAGATTTGAGATCTGGCTCATGGAGTCTGCAATGGATCAGGAGCAATAGAGTAGTATTTTGGTTGCTGTTGATTACCATGTGGGCTTATATTGGGTTTCATGTGCAGTCGAGGTGGGCTCATAGTGATCACAGGCAGAAAGAATTTGTTGGCTACAAAGATGGGGCTTTCGGTGTTAAGAATCAAGAGGATGCATCAAAAGATTCGAAGTCTAATGGATCCAATCCCCCCAATTTTGCTGTGAAGGAACCAAAAGGTGGCAAAAACATTAAAAATTCTGATTCAAGTGATTCTAAATTATCTGTAAAAAGGATTACAAGTATGGTAAAGAGTTCAATGAGCAAGAGAGGCAGAAGGGTGTTAAAGAAGGTGGCACCAAAAGTTCCTGTGATGGAGAGCACAGAAAATGAGTCGGATGATGTTCTTATTCCAAAGAGAAACACTTCATTTGGATTGATGGTTGGGTCATTTGGGAATATTGAGGACAGAATTTTTGAGTGGAGTCCCGAGAAGCGCAAAGGAACATGCGATAGAAAAGGAAGATTTGCAAAGATTGTTTGGTCACGCACAATTATATTGATTTTTCACGAGCTCTCAATGACGGGGGCTCCACTATCAATGATGGAACTGGCTACAGAGCTTTTGAGCTGTGGAGGATACGTGAAGGCTGTGGTTCTTAGCAAAAAGGGTGGCTTGATGAGTGAGTTTGATAAGAGGGGCATCAGTATACTTGAGGACAAAGGGGAGATTAGCTTCAAGGCTGCCATGAAAGCAGACCTTGTTATTGCTGGATCAGCTGTGAGTTCTTCCTGGATTGGTAAGATGCTTCCACTCAAGAGAATGTTAATGGATGCACCTTCAAGTACCCGGAATTCTTTATCTAAATTTTGTAGATATTCATTTTGTCATTCATAGACTCCACTGCTCCCACATTTTTATTAGAATCATGAAGTTTAGCTATAATACTAGTTGTTGGGGAAAAGTGTACAATAGAGCAATGAAAAACATGAGAACTAGAAATATCAACTATGAGGACAAGTGTTATAATATGAGATAAAAATCTATGTGTTTTGATGAGGTTTGCCTATGTATTTATCTGTATAGAGATATATATTTTCACCAATTTTAGATGTGAGTGTTGCACAACCATGTTTATCCAAGCCGCGTGAATGATTGAATTGGGTCAATACTCGATCAAACTGGTTAATCACAAGTGTCGCAATTCAAGATGGTTGAATCAACTTAAATTATCATAAACCCATAGGTCTTCTATATTAGGTTAACAAGATTATCTTCTAGTCCATCTGAGATATAATTTCTCAAATTTGTTTTCAACCAAATAGTTATAAGAGATAAATCAACCCAATGAGGGCACTTTAGAGGCAATACATAATTTATTATACTTTAAACAAGTGTGCTAGAGACAACTAGCAACACCTATCAAGTGTGCCTGATTGATGATCAACTATACTACTTGACATAGACATTAAGGCAAAAAACTTATTCCAAGGCTTAGCTGTATACTTGATATTTAGGGTTTGTTTGGGAAAATTGTAGCAGTTTGAAGAAACGAGTGTGAAACTGCTACAGAAGAAACTAATTTCGCAAAAAGCTGCGGTGACTATTACAAATTTATTTTATTTTCAAAAAGTCTGATCACGACATTTTAGCAGCCGCCACACTTTAATAACTTAAGTTGAGAAAAACAGCTTTTGACCTCAAGATTTTCTAAAAAGCAGCAAGAAATCAATTCTCCAAATAGAACTGTGGTGGCGACCTGAAAAACAAAGCAGACATAAAACTGTCCCAAACAGACCTTTTGTTAGCCACCAAATTTTATTTAACTTTCTCTAATATAAACTAATTTATATATAGTCTATCTTATATCATTAGTCTTGACTTTGCTTATAGATAAAGAGCATAAGACACAAAATTTCATACAATTTTAGGGGACAATCTATTATGTTAATAGAATTCTAGACAATCCTAAATTTTAAAGTCTATTTGCCATCTCTCTCTCTTTTTTTTCAGGACACAAGTACTTTGACATGGATCAGTAATTGGATTTTCTCGATAGCAATTCAAGATATCAAACCACGAGTCAATTCTATTTGCTTCTTCATTGTGCTTGTAATGCTAAGTTAGGTTTAGTTAGATTTCACTAGAAACATAATGAGGCTATTAGTCACAATAGTTAGTGTATGCGAACTTGTCAATGTGAGAAGCACAATGATAACTTGATTTCAAGTTAGTTCCTAAAGATGGAGGATCATCTTACCGAAAAGATCCAACATGTCCTTGAGCACTTCCCTTGAGCTGTATCTCATTTTTCTCTATCTTCTCTCCATCAAGAATCTATCATGTTACTGGGCATCATCAAAATACTACAAAACCACTTTATGTCATTTGATGATGATATATTCCACCTCTTGGGATTGAGTATTGCATATACTTTACATTGATGACCACTAAAGTGTGTGGTCGAGCCAAGTAGCACCTAGGAACAAAACTACATAGAGTTTCAAGATGTTTGTCCATGATTCCTACAAAGTTAAGTTAGATCCCATTAGATTGCTTGCTCAAATCAACTCACTCCTCATTTTGAATGATTTTGTGAAGTTTTTTTGCTTTTCATAATCTTCAGTAAAGCACCATTAGGTGGTTCTCGAACCTGTGGAAAACATCACCTTCTTACTGACTTCAACAGAAGGTCTCTACACATCTGTGTGTACAAGAACCAACTTTCCATTGACATCTCTTGGAGGCTTTTGTTACTATGTCACATTCATTGGTGATCATACATAAATTTATGAGTTTATTTCTTGAAGCATAAATCTGATTTATTTAATGTGTTCAAGACTGGGAAGACCATGGTTGAGACAGAGACAGACTTAAAATTGAAATGTCTGAGGTCTGATAATAGTGGTGTGTACATTGATGGTGGGTTCAATGAGTATTGTGCGGCTCAGGGCATCAGAATGGAGAAGACCATTCCAGGGACAACACAACAAATGGTGTTTTAAAGCGCATGAACAAAACCATTAATGAGCGGGCTAAAAATATGATATTGCACACGGAACTACACCTACTTTCTGGGCAGAAGCGGTCAACACTGCAGTTTACTTGGACTGGAAATTGCCCGAGGAAATCTGAAGTGGGAAAGATGTTAAATTTTCTAACCTTAAAATTTTTGTGGTGTGAGTTTTCTCATTCCAATTTCTCTGACTTTCTTTGTCAATCGTTGTTTATCCCACAATAATTGTTTTCTGCCCATTAGGTGGTTCTCGAACCTGAGGAATTCATTACATCCTTATTAGCTTCAAGTGACAATTATACCTCAGTTTGTGTGCAGCTCAGTAATTGGGTGGGCTCATCTCAATAGGCTTATACCCATAAGCTATTCAATGATTGGCGCAAACATACTATTGACCAATGATTGAACTTAAATTGGGTAGCTAAAAGGCCATCTTCAACCTTTTTGATTCAACGTGAACATTCATTGAACTTCTTTAACCTCTTTAAGAAGTTTCATACAAATGGTATAACATAGTGAGATACTTGTTAACTTCAGCGTTCAATATGTTAGTAAGGCTTGGAATAAAAAATTTGTTAACTCCCTTTGTATTGCTTTGTCCAAGGCTCGTTCGACAACTCTAAAGTATTTGTGGCCTATTCTCTTGCTGCGATCATTGTTTGAAAGGTTGCATTAGCAGGAACTTGCTTCGAGACACAAGGCCTTAAAAATTCTACATACTTATGGGTAATTGTTGCACCCTTCATCTGCCCATTTCCTTAGCTCTAATCAAAGGTTCAATCAGGCACATTATCGCATTGGAAGGAGAACTAGTGTAGAGTAGAAGTAATAAAGATGATTAGATATGGAGTTGCAAGAAGCTGAAAAATGGAACTATCAATTTGGAGTTCAACTCTTTTGTTTGTGGTGTGTTGAAGGAGAAATATCCAAAGAACTTCTCTCTAGACATTTTAATAACACTAATGTGCGTACTTCCACTTGATTTTAAATCTTTCGGCGATAAAGATTGAATATTAATGATTAGTGCTGAAGTGATAGGTGTTGCAGAGTATCTAGTATCGATTCAGCTTTGACATTCACAGAAACTAAGTTTTGATTCATAGTGGACTCTATATCCTTCTTAGTAACTATATAAGCAAAGAAACTGATAGTTTCCACACATTTGATGATTCTATTAGTATTGGAATAGCTTTTTTTGTATCAACTTCTGGTTCCCTCCCTCTTTCTTCTCAAATATCGAGCAATACTTTTAGGATTGAGGTTCTTAATATTCTCCATGATCAAGATGTGAGGCAAGGGCCTTTAATCCATAATTTAAAGCTTTCATAACATAATCAAGGTGACATGTGTCAAAATCTCCTTGTGCTATTTCAAATTGTCAATCAAATGACACTTTTTTTGTGGGCTCTTATTGTGAAATAACTTATAGAAATTTTCATTCTTTCGTCTTCATAGAATTACTGAATTGATAACAATGAATCAAGTTAAGCTTAGACCATATCTGATGAACTTGGAATAAGTCACACCAGTCAAAATGGATGAACCGGTTTGAATCAGCTCTAACCATAAGCGGGGTGCCAAAAATGACTAAGCTCTTAGTCAATTAAGTTTTCTTGATATACCTTAGGTTTAACATTTGGCTAATTGACTTATTTTATCTAAGTTTGGAGCTCTAAATAACTGAAATAAACCAAATTAAAACAATTAAACATAATATGCAATTATGTATGATATTAAAGCTAGATGTTGAGTATTGTGTAGCCAAATAGAACTTTAAGATTAAAACAAACTCGTCAAACAAACTTGTTTTTGGTATTACTAAACTGCATAGATGCTTTAGTATCTATTATTTTACAACAAATATATCAAATTCAACTGAACCAAATTGTTTAAAATACTTAAAATAAAAGCTAGCATAACCTAGTTGAATTGAAACCAACTTTTTATGAAGATTTATATTATTTAACAAAATATTTAGATGAGATTGAATCAAATAATTCGATTTGGTTTGGTTTTTCTTAATGTTGGTTTGAATTTGATTTAAGGTTTAGTTAAATGGTTTGGTTTTTTTTATTAGAAAGTTTAAAATAAAACTGAAATGTGTATGCCCCTAACCAGAAGTCCTTAACTAGGTTATCCAGAATCATCATAGAGGTCATTTAAGGTAATGTTGCTTAAAGTTTTTATAAACCAATTAGTCAAAATAGATAAGTAGATTAAAGAGCACTCCATCAGAAGTAGTAGGTTTTTGAGCTGACTGAACTTCACCTTTTTTTTAAACTTAAAGGAGATAGGTATGACACTAATTTAGTGAAATTTTTATAGCTTAAATTTAGCTAAGAGAAGATAATGTTTGTTCATTTGTTTGTTTTTGTCTTTCTCCTTGATCCTAAAATGCCTGTTGCTCAACAATGCCCTCTTATCAATTGGTAGCAACCAAATGATGGACAATATATTTTGTATTGCTCTTTCAAGCTCACTAACATTTGTTAGCATTGAGTATTCAAGGGAGACGAGGTTTTGTGCATTGGTTTCAGCATTTGTTAAATCTTTTCATCTTAACTGTAGTTATATGTTGACCTCATTTTTAGTGAGGTCTAGTCTTCCGCTTAGGGTTTAGGATCTAGCCTTAGGGATCTCCCTTCGACTATCT